TTAAGATTAGATAACATCAGCGTTATAAGAAAGAGTAATTGACGATAGATCAATAAATAAATGTATGAACAAATTTTATAAAAGTTGAGCAGAAACACGCTCTCTTGTAAGACATTTTTTGGAAAAAGTAAAACACTATATTAACGTGCATGACAGTGTTTGTTACTTGCAAAAGGTGAAGTAAATGAGAATTTAGCATCATGTCAGTTTATATAATAATAACACGGTTGACATATTGTAAATTCACCAAGAGGATATACAGTAGTTCAATAGGGTATGGAAACTCGAATGTTGACAAAAATACACCAATCAGGTTTCTGGACGATACCAAGTTTCTAGTGAAACAAACAAGATTTCTTATTATGCAATTTTTCTGGCCACATGCATAAAAGAATTATATTGCAAGTGAGAATTTATATTTCAGAAACAAGATTAAAAAATCTGCTGTTATCGATAGATATTAGAAACTTTCTATGGCTTCAAGGATAACAGAAAGTAAGTATACTGTCTAGTTAATTATACTTTCAGAGAATTTTTATCCAAAAGTAACTTGTACAAGACAATGCATGCGTATTTATTACGTAGACAGTGCTGACAGTTAACTCGTACTAATCTTGGGGTGCGACATGGGTATTCGTAAAAAGGCAACCCTGTATGGTAACGCCAACTTTATCATGTCATAATCTAATCGATCTACGGTTGAATTTGTTCAAATATATTTAATAGATATTCGTTTAAATTAATTTCTTTAAAATCGTTATTTTACAGGAGACTTATGAGATAAGCACAAAGTAATAGGCAGACAAAGTCCCCTTGTTTGCTATGTAACCTATTTTGCTTTTTGGGGGGTTCTGTATAAACCATTTATAATTCGACACCAATAAAGTTCGAATAATGCTGATAATCGCAACGGATCTTCCGAATTAATCAAGATAAGACAATGCAAGTTTTGGTGAAACTAACGGGTTCATCAAACAGGATTTGGATCTGCTGTGATTTGTTAGTAACTTAATTAGGTTTATGTTTGGGGTTATCGTTATGTCGCAATTGTTGCAGATGGAAATCTCCTCTGTACTACTCGGATAATTCTCTCTCAGGCGATGATCGCTGCAAAGATCGGCAATTGAATTTCTGACTAACTTTAATATAGGGATAATTAACAGACGCAGTGCAACAGAACTGACTGAAAAGCGTGCATAAGATTGTATATTAGAATGTTGCGTATGTGTAATATTGAAGAATGAGTTCAACCGCTGGTAAAGATTTTGTTAATGCAAAGATATTGCGTATCATGTGGTCCATTGTGTTTGTTGATGCTGTGTAATTAACTATTGGTTTCAACAATGGCAGAAGTATTTATTGAACGGGAAGATGCCAAGATACGGCAATGGATGTTCTAGGAAACTCATCTTGTTTGTTGCCGAAAATATTTCATCGGGAGAAAAAAAAACACAGTAAAGGGCACGGCAATAGATATCCTAGGAAAGTCATACTGTTCTTGGTTTCCCCAACCATTCTATTTTCAAGTCACACCAAATGCAAAAAGAGATATGCGATCGACTCACAATTTAATCTATCCCATAAGGCTGATTGTTAAAACGTGGTGTAATCTCAAGTTTTGCGCAGCCCCAAAAGATGCAAAAATGTTCTGCTCCAAGATCAACAGCTATAACGGATGAAAGAGTGGTATGTAATATTTGAAACTTGGGGCGCCGAAGTGCTCGGTGATGGTGATTTGTGGTTTGAAAGTATTAATGTGTTTATTTATATTATATTATATATGTATGTATACTTGTGATTATTTATTATAAATAAAATCCAACTTTAAGTGACTAAAAAATATCGTCAAACAATGACGGTTTTTTTTTAATTAAAAAGGTTTCAAATGTTAACAATATTACTAACTAGCGTAACAATCCTGCACAAGAGTTGCTTTTGATCCTGAAAGCGTATCCTAAATTGGCAAGCGCGCCATTCTTTGCAATTTTTCTAGCCACACGAATAAAAAAAGTTATATTGCGAATCGAAAATTCATATTTCAGAAATGAGATTAAAAACCTGCTGTTATCAGAAACGTTTTATGACTTCAAAGATAGCAAAAACCAATTGTGTTTATACTGTACGTACATATTTATCTAGTTAATTACACTTTTCGGAGAAATTTTATCCAAAAGTAATATTACAAGTTACGGCCCCGCCACACGATCACGGATACTGCGTAGACAATGCTGACGGTAGCTTCTGCTAATCTTGGGGTGCGACATTCGGGTATTCGTAAAAAGGCAACCTTTATGGTAACGCCAATTTTGTCATGTCGCTGCATAACCTGATCGATCTACGATTGAATTTGTTCAAATATATTGTGATAGATATTAATTCGATGAAAAGACTTAAATATTTTTACATCGTTATTTGCAAGCGACTTATGCTAATAATTGAGGTAAGTACAAAGTTTTCTTGTTGCTACGTAACCTATTTGCTTTTTGGGAGTTTCCGTATAAACCATCTATAATTCGACACAAATGAAGTTCAAATAATAACAGATTTTTGTTCCGTCAAGAGTTGGGTAACTTCCGGATTAACCAAAATAAGAACAATGCAAGTTTTGGTGAAACTGACGGGTTCTACAAATGCATGTAAAGCGGAGCAGATCTCTCGCAATCCCATTGGTCAAATTTGTATGCAGCCAGTAAAACTTGCAATGCACAATCACGTTCTGCTCCGCTTTTAGCCTTTCCTGTACTACTCGGATAACGCTCACTCAGGCGATGATCAGAATCAGAAAAAATTTTCTGACAAACTTTAATTAGTTGATGGGAATAATCAATAAACGCACGCAAATGCAACATGAGATTTATATTAGAATGTTGCGCAATTACTATGCACGTTGTGTTTTATTGATGCTATATCATTAACCTATTTTAGTTAGCTTATTTCAAAAGAGTTTGCGTTTCAAAGACAAGACACGGCGGCAATGGATATCCTAGGAAACTTACTTGTTACAGAAAACATTTTATCGGGAGCAAAACAAAACACGGCAGGCACGGCAATAGATATCCTAGGAGATTCATATTGCTCTTGTCCCCCCTCCGACCGTTCTATTTCCAACTGCCACACCAGATACAGAAAGAGATATGCTTACTACTCGCAGTTCATTTGAAAGTGGTGTAGTATCAAATCCGGCACAGCCCGCTTGATCCAAAAGATATAAAAGAGGCGGTTTTTGCTCCAAGATCAACCCAAGCCGGTTTTAACAGCTTTAATAGTCCTATTAACCAACTGTAGCAGTATTAGCAGAAATGACACTAACATATGCAGACTTCAAGCGCAAATTGAACGCGAAAGAAGATACAGAAACCATTGTTTTCGGAACTACACGTAAACAAGCTATCGACAAACTTAAAGATTTAATTAACAAAGTACGTTTATTACTTTATTCTAACTTCTCGAACAAACAAAAATAATAATTTTATTTCAAACTTTTAGAAAGTTGCGACGCTAAATGGAGGCGTGTTTACGGATGAGGAATGGGATATTAACAAGTATCCGCGTGCTGTGCTTTACAGAAATAACAGGAGTCCGCAAGACCCAGAAGAAGAACTGTACGAGTACGCGTGTATCAAACGTCTAAGTGACGAAGAACCACAATCCCGATTCTACGCCGACGGAATGTCTCCGGATGATGTTAAACAAGGTCGGTTGCGTATATTTGATATCCATTTTGCGCATGACTTATTCACACGTGATAATTTATCAAAAAGGTGAAATTGGCGATTGCTGGTTTCTCGCGGTTCTTGCTGCCGCCACCAATGTTCCTGGTCTTGTTCAATCCATTGCTGTGGAAGTTAATGAAAAATCTAAGGTATAATAGGATTAGAAATTCCCATCTCAATTAATAGACATTATTATTAATACGCCAAGTTTTACATAGATCTATGGTTTTGTATTCTTCAAAGGCAACGGTTGGGTCGCTACTATAGTTGATGATTACATGTTCTACAAAAAGCAGGAAAACGGAACTATTGCATTGAAGTTCAGGTATTACGAATTAGTTAATAAAAATGTGTAGTGGATAACAATGCTCAATGGTTTGATTATATTTTTGTAGTGAAGCCAAGAAAAATGAAAATTGGACTCCGCTTCTTGAAAGTGAGTTTTGCATCTCCTTCCATCACGCCCTTAATTACGCCAATTCGAATAGTTTAATTTAAATAATTTCTTCGCAGAGGCATTTGCCAAGATCAACGGTGACTACGAAAGTATCGACGCCAAAGAATACAATTCGAAAAAAGGTATTCATAGCATTTCCTTTCTCGAAATGCAAAACTAAACGTAAAAATAATAATTCCATAACTCGCTTTTTTAGCACTTCTGGGTCTTGGAGGTCTAAACTATACCGATTACGACCTCGCCGACGTGAAACAAAATTCTGCAAAGAAGAACGAACTTTGGAATACATTGTTTGCCATTAAGAATCCCCGTGATACTATATTTGCCTGCGGTCGCAATAAGCATTATAAGATGAAAAAAGATGATGAAGAAGATAAAGTGGGCTTAGTGCCCAATCATGTGTATAGTTTTCTTCGCGCTGTTAATTTTCGTGGTAATCAATTGATCGAGATCCGTAATCCCTGGGCTAAAACTGAATGGAATGGTAAGCATAACCGCTCACAACACTTACTGTGAACTGTTCTACTGACTTGCGTAATGGTTATTTCGCGTTGTAGGTCGGTGGTCAAATAAAAGCCATGACTGGGATCCTTATAAAGATAAGAATGATAAATACTATATACCAGAGTTGCATTATCGTCTCGATGACGCTGGTTCTTTCTTTATGCTATTTGACGACTTTCTGAACGAATTCGATGAGGTGGAGAGTTGTAATTACCCAGCGGCAACCGGTAAGTGTTATATTTAAGAACAACTCACTTGATTTGCTTTACAGGAGATGAAACTGATTAAACCGAGTTGCTTTTTTATCTATAGCCAAAGGTTCCAACATGCATGCCAAAATTTCAACAGAGAGTCTTGTAAAATCTTGGTGGTTTGGCGTCTATGAGATTTACTACACCGATAGAGTAAACCAGTCAAACTTGTCGGGTGTAGAATTGTCCTTTGAGCTTGAGAGCCCTGACGGGCCGACTATAGTCAGCGGCGGCGGAACAGATAATATTGGGCCTTATTCTATTCAGGGTACCTATAACAGTGTATCGACAGTTATTACCTTTACCAAGCAGTACACCGATGTCAATGCCAATACGGCCTGGCGCTACAAGGGCGTATACAATGACAAACTGTTCTCTGGAACATGGGGTACTGATACCAACCCAAATATGGGTAATTTCTTGATTAAACAGAATGCTATTCTTGAAAGACCCTCGGATGAGTTCTCGGATGAAGGGAGTTGGAAAGGATATTATTTCGATTCCGACAACAAAGGTACCCTGATGCTAATATACTTGACTGTATGGACAGATATGCATGGCGTCGAGGTGGTCAATGGCTCTGGTACGGATGTAGTTGGTCCGTTTACCCTTGATGGACACATTCAAGCCAACAATTCGGTCAGTCTTACCAAGAGATATGAGACTCATGAAAATACGTTTAAATATGACGGATGGAAGAGTGGAAACGCGATATTTGGAACTTGGGGCGCCGGAGTGCCCAGTGGTGGTGATTTTGTGATATGGAAATATTATCATTAGTGTATCCATTCCATCTACCGATATTATATGTATATGTGAATGTAATTATTTATTATAAATAAATCTGTCTTTAAGTGATTAATAAGTATCATCAAACATGACGCCTATATTAATAAAATTTCCAAACGTTAATCGCTAACTCTGCATATTCAATTTCGGTTGATACAAACTGTTGATCCTTTTCCTGGAACCATTAAATAATGCTTTACATAGTATATAATGACGCTAAGGATTAATATTATAACTAGCGTAGTAAAAAACCTGCTGCGCAGTGTATTAAGTTTTGCAAGCATATAATTGAACGAATGATTTTTTAGATGACAAAAATCATAATAATAATAGATTCGTAATTTGGATAATGCATTTTCATGGGGAAGACCAATAAAATTGGATTAGTGTGTGGTTATTGTTATGGGAATTTGACTATATGAGAATCCTTTGCGCCGTTCCTCGAGGCAATCGAATTTGGGGATTGACTAGTTAATGACAAACCAGCCGGTAACTTTGTAAAGCATGTCACGATAAACATAATTACTGGCAGATTTTCCAAAAAACGCCTCTACGTTGAGCTGAAAGATTTTAAAGACAGGTGGTTTTATTGGTGCACCATATATAATATGGGGGTACGATATCCATAGTAATACAAACATAGGGGAAGTTTTTTCGCCGATCATTACCCGATAATATTGCAATGTGAAAGACGCTTCAAAACCTTAAGACGTGGATATAGCCTTAAAACTTAGATGGTAGACACTTTTATGCTTGCTTTACCAAAAAATAAGGCGTTTTTTTCATTTTCATTATGTTATTATCAGTTTATATATGTTTATATATTTTTTGTAGGAACAGTTATCCAATTGCTTATAGCAAAGAAAAAAAATTCCTTATTTTCTGGTAAAGCAAGCATGAGAGTATCTACCGTCTAAGT